GAGAGAGAGAGAGAGAGAAACGTTCCTGTATACACGTAAGCACACACACACAAGAGTAGTGACACTCATTCACTTGCATGAACACACAAACACTCACACAATACGCACGCACGCACGCACGCACGCACACTCGCACGGACACACACACACACACGCGCGTGCACACGCACAACACACAAATATATCCATATATATCAATCCATCCATCCATTCATACATCCAGGATGCCAACACAAGCGCATTGAAGACGTACACGTGCGTACACGCCCAAGTGCATGAACACACATTCACATAAAAAAACGAAAGCATGCGTAGAAAAAAAAATGTGCAAAGAGCATGTAAATGTGATCAGTATGTTGTGGGGTTTTTTTTTTACTTCACGGAAGGCTTTCCGGAAAGTGGAGAGAGGAGATGGGGTTGTTGTTTTTAAAAAAAATTATTTTTGTACAAAAAAAATGTTTTGTTTTGTTTTTCTTCTTTTAAAAGGGGGGAGGGTGGTGGCGTCATGCCCTGCTGGAGAGAATGAAGGCTATTCTTGAACTTAGAACAGAGCATTAAAATTTATGGTACCCGACCAGGAAACCGTGCTGCCGGAGTTTGTTTTTTTTTAAAGTTTTTTTTTCACTCGGAATATTTGTGTGTGTGAGAGAGAAGTTTTTAAATTTATTTTAAAGTGGATGTTTCAGATCCACCATCGGCACAAATCACATCATTTAGGAGGCGGGCTTCAACCCTGCATTATAGGGCCAGCCAGAAACACTCAAATACTCAATAAAAAGATATTATCCACACGGAAATCAAACTCATGTCCTAACCGCTACACCAAAGCAGTTGGCATGTGCGTGTGTGTGTGTGTGTGTGTGTGTGTGTGTGTATGTATGTGTGTGTGTATATGTGTGTGTGTGTGTGTGTATGTATGTGTGTTTGAATGTGTGTGAAAATGGTATGGGTTTAACGCCCCTATGTGTGTGAGAGAGAGAGAGAGAGAGAGAGAGAGAGAGAGAGAGAGAGAGAGAGAGAGAGAGAGAGAGAGAGAGAAAGATAGCGTGCGTATACATATATGTATGTGCATAATGTTATTGGTGTGTACCCATAATTTACCCAACATTATGTGCAACATTCCTCTCCCACATCTTCCTGCGTTCTTGCTGGAGCGTGCATGCGTTTTACCTGCCTATGTTTGTATAGTGCAGGTCTGCTTTGCGCGTCCATTTATTAAGTTTGTGTGTCTCTTTTTGTGTCATTGTATGTGTGCGCAGCTACTCACCGCGAGGGTGCTGCGCTCCTCTCCTCTGCCCTCCTCAGTTCCTCCTCCGGCGCCGACAAGACTCGGTCCACTGTACGCACCAGTTGTCGGCTCACCTACAGGAGCAGAATATACGAATTCAAGCACGCACTGTGCTATTCTGTTGGATCGTTAGGAATAAAAGTGGTGCAGAACGTCAAATACACACACGCACACACACGCACACACACACACACACACACACA